GACAAGCAAATCTTCAGAAAGATTATGATCATTTTCTATTATTGTTGTAATACGTGGATCAATTACTTCTCTCTATAACTCAAGATATGACTCTCCATTTAAGTTTCCGTCTAAAAAGAAAGGTCCGACTATGTGATCACCTAGGATACCACACCATACATTTAACTTTTGAGGATTCTGTGTGTGGTATTCACGCACAACATGTGGATCACTCTCACCCCAATATCTGCAATTATGTCTATTAACTAAACCATTAACTGAAAATGTGAATTCATCCGAAAAACAAAGGTTGTGCAACAAATGTGGATTGTCAGTCAAGCGCTGACTCAATAGTTCACAAAATTCAAGACGACGATCAAAATCATCTTCATACAACTCTTGAACCAATTTAATTTTGTATGGATGGTACTTATGCTTGTGTAATATTCGATAAACTGTGGAAGATGAAACACCTACTTCTCTGCTTATTGTTGTCAGTGACTGTGCTTGTTGATTTTCAAGACTTACTTGTCCTAAAACTACGACTTCAATTGCTTCGTTATTTACGAGTTCCAGTCGGTTATGTTTTTTATTGCCAACTGACCCGGTTGATGTAAATTTATGCATAAGATCAATTACATACTTATGAGTTGCATGACCTCCTTGGTGTGTTTCGTTGAAAATTCTAGCAGCAGCTCGTGCAGAACTGTTATTTTTGTAGTATAAACCTACAAGTTCAAATCTTTCTTGTAAACTGTAAACCATTTTCACATCAAATAAATAACCTCAACAAATCAATGTGCACATGTATCAAAATACACTATAAAAGTAATTTAAATTCATTTTTCAAATCTCCAATACCTTTACCATGTATCATAAAAAACTTCAAGTTTTTAGCGGTACGATTAAGGTATAATGTATTCTAAATCCAATTTTGCTGCAGTCAGTAAGGTGAGATGTAAAAATTTGTCACTCAAATAATGGAACCCTGTAGATCATAAACTAATTATTTTAACTTCCATGTTTTATACATTTTTGAAATCAGTTAAACGAGAACAATCCAAAAATGGATAAAAAAATAGGGGAAGCCATTTAAAAAAATTGAAGGGATGATAGTAGGGGTGAAAGGGTGACTTTTTCAACAAACTTAAATATGGCACGATATCTCCCCCTTCGAATATTAATTGACCTATTTTTTTTGTTTTTTGTAATAATCAGTGCTTCAAAAGTTACTTAAGGTGGATACTTTTATCTGAAAAGCACTGTATAGACGTATATAGAGGTATATAGAGGCATATAGAGATATTTATTTATTTTGTTTATTTATTACAATGTTCTACAAGCAATCCCAATTACAGAGCAGGATTAAAAGAACACATATATTATGTAGAAACAAAATATATAAAAATTTGTAATCAGCTGGTAGGTAAAATACAATACAATACAATTATTTTTTTTTTAAATTAGGAAATGATATTTTATTTCCCTAAGTTTGCATGAGAAGATGTCAATGTCACTACTCACGCTATTCACAACGCGGCTAATAGTATGAAATGAAGAATTTTTTAGAACATTTGTGCGAGGTAGAGATATGTGAAATATGTCAGAATTTCTAGAGGATACTGTCGAAATGCACATATCAATTTTTCTTAACAATTCAGGAGAATCAATTAAACCGTTAATAATTTTGAAACCTAACATATAACAATGGTATTCACGTCTTTTTATGAGGCTTGTTCTACCCTAGCTTTATTGGGCTTGACATCTACTGCCTTCGATCATGGTGGACTGTATCATAGTATATTACCTGGAGTGGAGGCCTAATGCTAAACGCCCTATAGCCTCTGGGAAATATTCTTGAAGTTCTGGTTGGAGCACTGGATTTATTCAAATAAAACTATCACCCTATATTTGAATTTGATATATTCACGGCTTGATGATTTCACATTTTACACATTTACCACTTGGTTACATAAATTTATTGATAGATTACATATTAACATTTGTAAATCAACTCACACAATGCTTGAAATTAATTTACGGCGAATGCCGGCTTTTTAAGTGTTTGACTAGTCGCTTCGTCGACTGAGAAAACGAAGACATTATCTATTAAATAATTATATTTTATTTGGTCGGTTTTTAAAGTAAAAGACATAACTTTACATTTAATTGGGTTAAGTTCAAGTTTATTATTATTGCGCCATTCAACCACTAGAGTGTTTTGTTTTGCGATGCTTGTTAGCTCGCATCGGTTTTACCGGCTTTCTTCTAATTGGTTATCTAGTATCGTATGATTGCACGCGAGAGTAATGATTGGGTGAAAAAATCTCGGGTGACTTAGTTTTAATTGTTTGCGAAATAGCAGGTGTCTTTGAAGGTTATTTGAAAGTTAACCGGGTTGTTATTTCACAACTTTGGATAATTGGTTAATACAGGGATTGTCTATTTAGTATTTTGTTCTTTTTGTTTGTTAAGTGAGATTTATACAGGAAGTGCCTATTTAGTATTTTATTCTTTTTGTTTGCTAAAAGCTGATTTAGATTAGCAGATAGGACATGTTGAATGTAATTTCAACAAGGCTTAAAAAGTGATATCTTTTAAGAAGATTTCGGTGTGGTACTCCGATTGGCGGAAAAACACCATCCTTCTTTAAACACAGTAATTTTAGAAACCGCCTTTGAACTGCTTTAATTCTCTTCGTGTGAAGTTGATAAAATGGACTCCAGAGGACAGACGCATACTCAAGCTTTGATCTTATAAGAGAGTAATATAACGTTTTTAATGTGGCTATATCTTTGAAATCCCTGGTACAGCGAGTTATAAAACCATACATACGATACATTTTATCAATGTGACATATAAAGGTCAATCCGGGATCAAAAATTACCCCAAAATCTGTAAAAGTATCTGATCGCTGAAGTGAGACATTATCTATTAAATAATTATATTTTATTTGGTCGGTTTTTAAAGTAAAAGACATAACTTTACATTTAATTGGGTTAAGTTCAAGTTTATTATTATTGCACCATTCAACCACTAGATTTAAGTTCCTGTTAAGTTGTTCACAGTCGCCAATATCATTGATGAAAATATTAAATAGTAACGGGCCCAGAATGACACCCTGAGGAACTCCAGATGTTGTTGCAAATGTGACAGACTTAAACCCATTAAGCTGTACAAACTGAGTACGATTTACTAAATAGCACTGAAAGAAATTTATCAAAAGGAGGCACAACCCAAACCCTGTAAGTTTTCCAAGAAGAATACCATGGTCAAGTCTGTCAAATGCCTTGGAGAAATCTGTGTAGATGACATCCGTCTGAGCGCGCTCATCAATAGATTCAGCAATGTATTGTGTGACGGTAACCAGGTTGGTGACTATTTAGCGAACTTTCATAAATCCATGTTGATTAAATGATAGCATTTTACTAACATTGATGCGGATAAAGGGGTGAAAGTTATACTCGGATAGCTCAAACAGACTCACCTTGTGTTTCTCTACAAATTGATCGGGAATCAGCCGTTCGGGTGCCCATACACTTCACGTTGTCTAGCGGTATACTCGATATAAACGGTGCAAATAGTAATTAGCGACTGCCGGCTGGACACTGTAGACACTGTGTACTTATCACACGCTACCGAGCCGGATTGAGCATAAAGATACGCGAAAAACTAGACCTAGGTACAATATTTTAGCCGCAAGTTGAAAGGCACAATCCTCTAAAATAAAAGCTGTAATATGGTCTGGACCAGTTGTCCTTTTAGGTTTAATAGACTTTGGAGCTTCATATACCTCTTTTTCGGTAAAACTATTGACATTAGGGAGAGGAACATTGAGTCGTGAATTTGAATTAGCAATAAACGGGCTAGAGGTAATATATGACTGAAGAAGTCAGCAAATCCATTTAGAATATCTAATGGATTTTTAGTGAATTGTTGTTATAAGACATTATTTGAGGGGATTTGATTGTGATTTCTTACTATTCATAAATGCCCAAAATTTAGTTGGATTACTAGATATCTCTTGTTCAGTCTTTTTAATATATGCTTTGTAAGAAATATCTATTTCTAATTTTAAAGCAGCTCTTATGCGTTTGAAGTCTTCAAAGGCTTCTAAATCATTTTCTCGTTTGTATTTTTTCCACATATTTGTTTTGATTAACTCTTTATTAAACCATGCTGGATATTTATTTTGTTACTTGCAGGAATATTTGTGGCAACATTTATCAAGAATATATAATTTTCCATCGAAACATGTACAAGCGTCTTCTGCATTATTAAAGGCTTTTAAAAATGTCCAGTCAATACTGGAAATTAAATTGTTCATTGGTGGAAAATTGGCTTTTTTGAAATTATAGCAATTTTCAAAGGACGATTCCAGGTTGTCTTTACGGTTAGTTTCTACTTCCAAGTAACAAGTGATGTCCAGAGCATGATAATGTTTATCTTCCACTACAAATGGATCAAGCGATTTTTTTACTAGAGATTATCATTAAAGAAGACTAAATCTAATAGCCTATTATTATCATTAAAGATAAAGTTAGACTGAGATAAATTAAAAAGTTAAGAGGTAATTAATTATTGAAATTTGTTTGTTACTTTTGCTGTCACTAAGATATATAGTGGTATATGGAGGTGTAGAAAGTTATAGAGATATATAGACGTATATAGAGGTTATATAGAGGTATATAGGTAAATAGGTTAGTTGTAGCTTGTAAGCAACTAAGAAGAGAAATAACTTGTGTTCTTTTTTACAATTGATAATTTCTTTTGCCGAACCAACAGAAGATATTTTTAAAATAATTTTCTGCAACATTCTTGGTCTATTTCCAAGATTTTTTATTTTTATATAACAGTAGTGTTATTTAGTTCCTTTAAGAATTATGTATTGTACTTTGTAAAAGACTAGTCTGGATAGTGAGACTTTTGACAATAGTACCTACTTGAAGTATTCGTTTACCAAATTTAATTATTATTACTGGTATTTTTAAATTAAAAAAAACTAAATTTTGCTGTTTTAGCCTATCCAAGTCAGAGAACATGATCCATCCAAAAACCACAAAGTTGAAGTCCTGGGAGTCTACACGCCCAACTCAGACAAAACCAATAAGCTCGTTTCTTGTGCGAATATCCTGGAAGCCAGCAGAAGGATCGCTTGCGATATCGGAGACTGCGATCCAGAAAGAATGGCTCCGCCTAAAGTCGAAGAATACGTTAGAGACTTGTTCAAGGGTTCTAGCATCAAGATGACCGTAGTTAGTGATGCGCAAGAGTTCAAGAAAAATTATCCGCTGTTCGAGGCTGTTAATAGAGCTGCTAGCGTTCAAGAGAGGCATAGAGGAAGGATTATTTATTTGGAATATAATCCCGCAGGAAACGGGATCAAGGAGACTTTGTTCATCGTTGGAAAAGGTAGAGTATTATTTATAGAAAAGATTTTCTAGCTGTTACTTACAATAATTGTTCTTTTATTACGTTTATTGAATTCTTGCTAATTCATGCTGCGGTTGTCTGTATGGCAAGTTAATAGGATTTTAAGATTGAATTTTAACAGAAAAATATTTTTGTTAAATAACTTGACTATAGTTTCAACTAGAAAGAAGTGGTTTGCATCATTAAATTCCTCTGTAAAAACTCTATAAAATGGTTTTTAAAAAATCAACGCTGAGTTGTCCGTAAGGCCAGAAAATAGGATTTTCAGATCAAATTTGGGGGAATTTTAACAGAAACAAGTGTTTTTGTTAAATAACTTGACTATCGTTTAAACTACGAAGAAGTGGTTTGTATCGTTGAATTTCTCTTTAAAAGCTCTACAAACTGGTTTTTACTAATTCATGCTGTGTTGTCTGTAGAGTAAAATTATAGGATTTTCAAATTGAATTTTAAAAAAAAAATATTTTTGTTAAGTAACTTGATTATCGTCAAACAAAAATTCACTTGTTTTAAATGAAAAATAAAATCAGCTATTGGAAAAAAGTTATAATTTGTGATTACTGGTTCTTGAATCACACTTTCCTTTGCGGTTAAGATACCTGATAAACTCTGGAGTCTGGATGAAAACAGCTGACAATTTGAGGTATACGGAAAATTTCTAGAGAGAGGAATTTGAAATTTGTTGCAGAATTCTTTATTAAAACTGTTTATTTATAATTGGCCGTGTTATTTACAACTCTCGGATAATAATTTATAAAAACAAAACGCCAATCTTTTGACTCATGATGAAAGTACTGAAATATTTAATCATGCCCTCGCGGATGGTGATTGGTTTTATCAAATGAAATTCCAGCTACGCACGTGGCTCACAGAATATTGTTGTAGAGCTCGATTTTTTTGTGAAGAGCACATTTCGTCATAGCTATGCCACAGTTCGCGCAGTACGTCATAACTTTGTGGAGTTTTAGTTGATGGCGCTGGGCTGAAATCTGCTGCGGTAGGGGTACCTGATATCTTAGCAGTAACGTGTGTACATTAATAAAATAGTTTAAATCGAACATATTAATAAGTTATTGTTAAATTTTAACTATTCGTTAGTTAAATTGCTGATGAACTTTAAATTAATAAAACAACTAAAAGTTTAAATAAATAATATATTTTAATTTAATTTGTATAATTTTAAACATTTTCACCATCTTCATCATCTTCCAAGTCCGAAATATCGGATTCCCACTCATCGGATGACTACGTGTTTACACTAAATATGAGGAAATCTGTAAATTCATCCATAAGGTGTTCTCTTTGAATATACGCATCCTCATATTTCGCGGAATGGTCCACCACGTTTGCCCATTCCTCCGGCGTTATACTTCGGAACTTTTCTCTTGCCAACTTTTCAACATTATCCAACTTGAATGTTGTGTTATGTTGACCCACCAATTTTTTACTGTGGCCCATATTTTTTCTATGGGATTTAATTCGGGATGATATGGAGGTAATCGTAGAACTTTGTGTCCATGTTCCTCGAGAAGATCGTCTGAAAGAAATTTCGGTGGAGGTCTGTGAACTTTTATTAATGTTTACAGTTCTGGTTTGGTCATTTAAGCATCATGCGGTATATTGTTTTTAACGAGCCAGTTAATTAAATCTGCTTTTTTGGTCTACGTTGTATTCGATTTTTCAGATTTTACATTATGATAACTTGCATTATCGATCACAAGTACAGACCTTGGAGGAAGATTTTATTATCTAAAATGCAAGTATATTTTTCATAATTATTTTTGTATGTTACTTAAACTTAAACTTTTAAATGAAATAATTGCTTGGTTAAGCAAAAATTACTAGGAAGTTTAAATCACTTAAAAAATATTGTTTTTAGAAGAAATATTTCTTCAAGATGATAAGACTTATTATAATAATTTTAAGAAAAAGTTATTACTAAAAACTTTCCCTTGTATAACAATAAAGGATTAAGTACAGGTAAAGATCTTTTAACTAAACTGAAGATAATAAAATAAACCACTACATTAAGTACTTCAATTACTTGTTAATTAGATACTTTAACAGTTTAAATTAAATTTAAGCTGATCATAACTTTCGATTGTTAAGCATCATGTATTTTATGAAGTAGGCAAAGACGCAAATAATAATTAATTTTCTATAAAAAATAGATTATTACCTAAAGTAAATATTAACAGTCCATTTTCTACAAAACCGTCCTTACTCCCTGCATGCAACATTATGAGCCTTTTCCCCTTGCTCATTGGAGTTTTGAATTTGCCTTTGCCATCGGTCCATCCTTTCGAATGTGTATGACTACTATGTAAATAGGTCTCATCACAATAATAAATAGTTCTGCCTTCTTTCCGATAATGTATTAAAGATTTTAAATAATTTGTCCTCTTATTCCAACAGAACAGATCTGTTGTCTATATTTTTTTCCACCTGAAAAAATAAACATTGTAATTTTAAACGTACAAAAATTGACTATGAGAAATTAATTATTTTGGTATCATTTTATTTTGATTTTTTTAGATAACGTTATTTATACTTACCTAAAACCCATGTTTAATAATATTTTCCTAAGTGATGAGATGCTGCTCCGGAATTCAAAACAACAATCCTTCATTTTTTGTAATATACCTAAAGTAATATTTATATTAAATACGTTGCCATTATAATCAAAATAGTAACTTACAATTTAGAGTTGGTCTTTTCTCAATGATATGAAAATCATACCTCTGAGTTTTTCCAACTCATCAGGCCTTATAGATTCTACAACTGTACTTCTTTTTGTATATCCTCTTTGTGAAAAGGAAGTACTAACTTTCTACTTCACCAGCCATCTTAATTCTAGAATAACTGCTTCTAGAAATCCCTGTAGCAGCTAAAATTCTGTCTCTGTATTTGTGTAATGGTATTTGAATACCGTGTTCAGCATCGTTTTTCATAAAATTTATGAGGCGTGAAATTATTTCTTTCGTTTGTTTTAAATAATATTAAACTTATTTTTCTATTCATTAAGAGCAAACCGAACCTCTAGACATGGAAAATTTTTGAAATAGTAATACAAATTAAAGTTACGTGGGTTTTATATATTTTATCACCAATTTCTTAATATTTAAGGTATTTACGTGATATTTTTTTTGTTGCTATATAGTAACTTAAACTACAGTTCTGTAGTATGAAATCAACAAAAAAGTATTACCACAACTCAGAAAAAAAATAAAAAAAAGTCTGAGTATGATCACTGTTTTAAGGATTCGGTGAACATATTATTATTTCTTGATGAAAAAACTGAAACTAAAATTAAATACACAGATAAAACAAAAAAAAATATTTTTTCAATACAAATTGTAAAGGAAAGATTTTTCTAGAGAATTCTTAAAAGAAAATTCTAATCGAATAAAAAATAAAAGCAGAATCCTTAAAACAGTGATCATACTCTAAAAAAAATATTTTTTTTTCTGCGTTGTGGTAATACATGTAAAATACCTTAAATATTAAGAACTTGATGATAAAATATATAAAACCTACGAGTTTTATCTCATTAACGCAGCAATAGCTCTTAAGATAAGAAAAATATGGTTTACAAAAAAATCTGGTTTTAAAAGGTATTTAAAATATTTCAGGATGTTCGGTTTCTTCTGAGATTAATATTTATAGTTTTGTAAATGTACTTACCAAAATATACACAAAATTAATTAGGAATTCAAAAAATATAACAAATTAAACTTTATATACACACAAATCGAAGCACAAAAACTCAGGAAACTCAAAAATAGAAGTACAAAACTCAAAATAGCTAAATAAATAAAGTACAAATAAGTAACACTACGCTACTGAATTCAACTTGTATGAGCGATGATGAACGGCAGGCGGCTTCGATCACGTTTAAATCTGTCTGACCACGCCTACAAACTTAAATTGGTTTCTGCACATTATGACGAAATGTGCTCTTCACAAAAAACTCGAGCTCTATCATGCAATTTACTTTTCGCAGGAGGAGCTATGCCTACGTGACATGCTGCTAGCGCCCTGCATTGGTACCGTAAAATCGAGTTATAAGCCCGTGCTTGCACAGAGGCGTATTTAGATTGCAGGATGTTATTTTATAATCTAAAATTAAACTGTTTTTCTGCGATTTTTTATAAATATGCACACTAATTGAGCTACTGAATTTATTCCAGTTGGCTGTTACACACTGTATATAACCATGTATGTTTGTAACTACGTCCCGTTTATAGCAACTAAAAAAAGTCAATTTTTCTTCTTTTACTTACATATTTTTATATTTGCAATGATAGTATTGAGAAAAATCAAAATATAAGATGTTTTATTAGTACCAGCATTTTTATTACTTGTATGATGTTGTTCATTAAGAGTTTATTGATTGTTAAATAAAGTAAATTTAGTGTATTTATTGTTCTTATGCCATTAGCATTTGACAATTTTCTATTTCTAAAGCTGTTGAACTTGTACCAGAGTCAGTGTCCGTGACAGAGTAATGGAACCCACGTTAAAAAATGAATAGATATTATTTAATTATCATATGTATTTAAATGATAAATAAACAAAGCTATTTAATATTAGAGAGTTTTAGCAAATGTACGTAAGATTTCCGCTAACGTTACGTTAAACTTAGATTGTGACCTTTTTCATAAACATTGAACAGAGTAGATTACAGTCTATCCCTAAGGTAACGTTAGCGGATGGTTAGCGGCTGTTTGCTAAAACTCCCTATTATATGCGATAATAAAAATTATATATTTTTATCCATAAATGAAGATATCATTATGTATATAATAAACAGATCTCACATTTTATGGCTGATAGAATAGGAGTATTGAAATAATTATTATTTACATTGTGTTTGTCACTGGCCGTGATATGAACTTTAAATCACATGTAATATTTTTTAAAGCAGATAAATGTTAAAATCTTACCTTGAAAACTGCCGTTGAACTGATTTATTAATTTTATTTCTAACATTTCATACCGCTAGACTTAAATATACAAAAAATCATCATCATTATAAGGATTGAATAAATCCGCGCAAATTTTAGAATTATTTTTCTGCAATTTAACCAAATAACTATTTTTTCACTACTTATTAACTACCAAAAGGCCTCTAGATTTGCAGAGCATTTAGAAATGACATCTCAGCCAAATGATGAAGACTAGATTGAACCAATTACAGAAAATATTATCATCATTAGACTCACGTTTTTTAAAGGAAGTCTCTGATTAAATAAAAATCATTATTAATCCGATAAAAACTCCTGGTTTTGATTTAATTACCGGTGAGATTTTGAAACAACTTCCAAAGAAAGCAATCGTAAAAATAGCACATCTAATTAATACATCATTTAGACTCAGGTCTGGAAAATAGTAGAAGTCATTATCGTTTCAAAACCAGGCAAATTACCTAATGAAGTTTCATCATACAAACCAATTTCTTTACTTTCTGCAATATTTAAATTACATGAAAAATTACTTCTTAAAAGATTGAAATCAATATAAGAAGAGGAGAACTTAATTCCTCATCAATTTGGCTTTAGAACCATTCTACAATAGACCAAGGAATTACAGACAATATTGAAAAATCGTTAAAAGAAAATAAAATTTGCTCTTCAATTTTCCTATATGTAGAGCGCAACCTTTTGATAAAGTATGACAAGCTGGAAACACTACTTCCACAACAAGATTCAGACCTATTAAAATCCTATTTATCAGAAAGTTTCTTCAGAATTAAATAGAAAGAAGCATATTCTGAATTAAAGGAAATCAAGGCAGGGGTTCCACAAGGCAGTGTTCTATACGCCAATTACATTCCCAACATTGAGCACGATACAATAGCTAGATTTGCAGACGATACTGCAATTTTAGCTACATGAAAAGATCACCAAGAAGCGGAGAGGAAAATAAAAACATGTATAAACCAGATCCATACTTGGACCAAAAGATGGCGCATCAAGTTTAATGAAGACAGGTACGTTCGCGTCAACTTTACAAATAAATGGAATCAACACATTCCAATCAGAATAAATAATAAGCAAATTTCTTTTGATGACTCAGCAAGATCAGCAAAATACCTGTTTATTATTCTACACGGGCCACAATATGTTTGGGTGATGACAAAAAAAGGTCATATTGTTTTAGTTTACATATTTTCTACAAAAAAAAGCTTTGAAAAGGACAATTTGTTTCAAAAAGGGGCTGTAGGTCAACTATTTAAATTCCTAATAATAGTGTTTGGGGGAGTACAAAAAAGCTTGGTGTGCCGCACAAAAAAGTTTGGAGGGCCGCACAAAAAAGCTTGGAGGGCCGCAGATTGAGTATGGCTGCTCTAGACGCTAGGCTCTCCTAGAGAGTACATGTAAAAAAAACGAGACAAAATTAAAATGAAATATAGAAAATAGTACTGGCTGATGGGAAGAAATTCCAAGCTCTCTACATATAATAAATTGCTTCTCTACTAGCAAATCCCAAAATCAGTCTGGACATAGGGCATTCAGCTTTGGAGCTGTGCCAGCAAAAGCGACATCAAAGTAATCGAACAACAACAGAACAAGATATTAAGAAACATAGTAGATGCACCCGTGTACTGCCGAATCTTTGCTGAGACCTAGGAACGGAGTATGTCAAAGAAACTTTTACCAAGTTCCCCAGAAGTCATGAAAAAAGACTTCTTCAACATGTGAATGTCGAAGCTATCTAGCTTTTAGACAACATAAACCAAGTAAGAAAACTCATGAGGACTAAGCGGTTTGAGTTGTATCAATGTACATTCTAATTTTTTGTTCAGCCTCAAAGATCTCTTTCGACATGAGGAAAAATATGCACTTCTTGTACCTAATAAAAAATTATTCGGGTGGCAGTGGTTCTATCTTAAATTATTACTTAAAATATCGTGCAATTATACTTTAAAAAAATAATAAACAAGGCAGGCAATAGACAAAGTGAGACCTGGAAAATAATAAATGACTGAAGAAGCAAAAGGTCTAAATCCTTGGTCACCAATTTAGGGCCTACCGAAATCAACAATTTTTATTTTTCTGTTCGTCCTAGTCTGTCCTCCCAAATAACTCCTTCGACTGATGCTTTGTCTTATTTAAATAATCCAAATATTAACGATTAATTTTATTTTATAGCAACTGTTGTTGTGGAAACTAAGGATATCCTCTCTTCTACCACAAAAAAGAATTCCTCAGATTGGGACGAAATTTCGGATAATCTTTTTTCATATCTTCCAGAAGATGCTTTAAATGTTTTAGCAGAATCAATTAATTATTTATTTTGGACAGGTTCTTTCAGTGATTCTAAAAATAGCCAATGGTATACCTGTGTACAAGGGCGGTGATCATAATTGTCCTAACTATCGACCCATTTCTTTATTACCCACTTTGGCAAAAATTTCTGAAAAATTGGTTAATATGATAATGCTAGCTTTTCTTAAAAATCATGGAGGGCTATCTACATCTCAGTTTGGGTTTTAATGGGGTAAAAATACTACCGATACTATGTTTTCTGTTCTAGAAAAATTATACTTCAATTTAAATGATAACAAGGTAGCTGCTGCAGTCTTCTGTGATTTACCCAAAGCTTTTGACTGTTTAAATCACAGAATATTACTGAGCAAGTTAGAAATATATGGATAGCTCTAAGAAGGTTCCAGTCTTATTTGGAGACTAGAGTACAAAGAGTTTCTTTCAATAAGCAAACATCAATGCTTTCTATGATTTACTGTAAGTTTCCCCAAGGATCCGTTCTGGGACCGGTTTTATTCCTAATGTATGTTAATGATATTATTAATGTCAATATATTTGCAGATGGCACAACGATACTCTGGGAGAATGAGATTATTGAAGAGTTGTCTAATACTATTAACAAAGACATTATTAAGATTAGAGAATGGTGTAGTTCAAATTATTTATCTCTTAGTATATCAAAAACAAATAGTCTCATTCAGTGGCGATATCGCTGTAATTTCAGTTGGACAGCAATAAATTGCAAAAGACCCGAAAATAACTTCTTAGTCTTATTCATTGACCAGAAATTAAAATTTGAAATGCATGTTAATAGTTTGTGTAAGAAGCTGTCCTCTAGATGTTTTGCAGTAAGAACTGTTGCATACAACTTAGATATTTCGGTGTATACTTTTTATTGGTAGAATCCCATCTGCGATATGCTATAAGTTTCTGGGGAATATGTTCTTCCGAGTTGTTTACTAGAGCCTTTGTCTTGTAATCCATTATTTATTAGGCACAATATACTAACACTCACTTGTCTGTTTCTTTTAGAAACAGTACTTTTAGTTTTTTAATAATATAAATAATATTATCTCAAATAATACTCGAAGAATCTTTTACCTTCCCTTGCCTATACCCTCTTCCGGCTTGGTATGTGGCTCTATTGCGTATAGCGGGAAGAAGATATTTAACGAACAGCCATTTTATATAAAAAGTGCTTAAACATATTCAAAAAGCAAGTTGAGAAACTCTTGCTCGAAAAAGCCTACTACAAATTGGACTTGACTTGAAATGTAGACTTGTGGTTTTACAGATTATGCCGACGATATATATAATTATTTGTCCTTATAGACCGTTATCTGCTAGCAACTGAACTTCGTATATTTATAATTATCATTATTTTTAGGTGTAACCTACGATACCGGCGGCATCGACGTCAAAATCAGCGGTGGCATGATAGGCATGTCGCGCGATAAATGCGGAGCAGCGGCGGTAGCCGGTTTCATGAATATGGTCGACAAGTTCCAACCGAAACATCTCAGAGTAGTGGGTGCAATGAGCATGGTTAGAAACAGCATAGGATCAAACGGATACGTAGCCGACGAAGTAATCACTGCCAGATCAGGAGCTAGAGTCAGGGTGGTAAATACAGATGCGGAGGGTAGAATGGTGATGGCTGATGTTCTTTGCAAGGTAAGCGATGGTTATTGTTATATCAGATTGGGATAGTAAACATAGCGAAAGTTTAAATTTCTTCTAAGATTTCCTGCAGACATTATGAGTATTAATGTAAAGATGAGCCTAACGCACGAGTTTTGAATTCTCTGTAGCCTCGCCGATGAGTACATTTAAACATGGCCCTAAACAAAATCAGCATAATTGGTATGAATTAATAATATTAACGTCTCACAGAGTTGTATTTTTAGAGATGCATTCAAAAAAGATCTGCTTCGATATAGATTTTTTAAAGAGCGATACCATTTTTGAACAATGGACCTTTAATCTCATTTTAGTGTCAATATAAATTCCCAAACTTTTGACTAAGTCACAGGGCTTAACTACCACATTATCAATTTCGATATTCAAATTATCTTTTATAACTTTGGTAACATTACCAAAGCATATTGCTTGAGTTTTTGCCTGATTTATTTTTAGCCCATGTTTAACTGAATACTAGACAGAGTTTGATTTATCTCTAAGCGAGCGTTACCCAGTTCATCAACTAAGAAACTCTTGTAAATGTGAGTATCATCAGCAAATTGATCTATTGTACAGTTCACAGCATTATTGTTAAGATCCATTGTATATATATAAGATAAAGAAGAGGTCCAAGAATTGAGCCCTGTGGCACACCTTTGTCAATCATTCTTGAGCTAGATTCATTATTTTCTATAGTCACATATTGGCATCTATGTGATAGGTAACTCTTTAATAGTTTTCTCTGAACCAAACTATTATTGCGTTTGAAAAGTACCTCTTTTTACTCTGTTTGCTCCAATGAGATGGTTTGCTCGATGTCACGTGACCAAAAACTCTACCCGCTCTGCTAGGCGAGGTACATTTCAAACGTAGCACATATAGGTATGCTTGTTATGCCGAGTTACTACTTTCTAATTTACCACAAATTCAAGAAAATTTATAGAAATATTGGTAGTATTTTGTTTGCTACGAAGTTTTTGGTTCATATTAAAAGTTTTATCATTTGATTGGTAACACCAACAGGTATGCATGACAAGTCGATAACAAAAAAAAATACTAAAATAGAATGAGTAGGTACTTTTATATTTAAATGATAACATCTTAGTTACTGGGAATATACTGGTAATTTGAATATTGTCTGGTTAGATTAGATAAGATAAAAAATTAAATTCAAATTTAGAAAGATACCTATTTATCTGCATTTTTCTCTTAACGCATTGATGAATCATAGTATATTATACAGCAAGAAACTGAAGTGGTCCTTTCTGTTCCGAGGGATAAAAAAACACTTCAGTCCCGTGGTTTATAAGCTATTTTATGCACTTTTAGAATTAAAAACTAAAAACTAAAAAAAAAACCAGTACTGTACTCTAATAACAAAGCAATGATGATGTCGATGCACCATTGTTATAGTGTTGTACTGAATTTGTACTAAATTGGTACTAGATTTGTACTAGATTTGTACTAGATTTGTACTAGATTTTCGGTTGAATGGTCAAAATATATTTTATCCAATAAAAGAAACAACAGATGATGCATTTCATTCATAAAGTATGTTTTGTTTGGTCCTAATCATCGGAAAAGAGGAAGAAGATATTTTATGCGGATCGAAAGAAGACAGACTGTAATCGAAAATCTCGTCTGGCAACGCTGCTGTTGTATGCAACTAAAAGTCTGTTGATACCAGTGGCGTATCTTATTAAAGATAAAATCATAACTAATTATAAAAAAATAATGAAATACTAACCGATATGGTGTGCAATAAACTTTATAATGGTTTAAACTTTAAAACCGATTGGATTTGGTATAAGGGTATGAAGTTCAGTGAAATGTGGGTAAAAAGCTTAAAAACACTATTTTTTTTCAAGAATAATACATTTATTACATATAAAGATGTTAAATAAAATAAAATTAATAAAATAAAAAAAAGATAAATAAATCAAGATTTATTTTAAACAAATTTACGAATTCAATTTTGGTGTTAAAATTTGAACAGTTTTACAACTTGGTAAATGAGAGATTTTTAAATCAAAATTTAGATTTTTAAGACTACTAAATTTATAAAAGTTATTAACTCAATAAATTTACCATACTTATATACAAGGTGGGGATTTTAAATGGAACGCTTCTTCTTCTTTCTGGTAATAAGAATTTTGTAAAATCCGAAAACACGTAGAACTGTAAACAATAAACCTATCAATTGATAATTTTTAACTTGTAAAACTAGGCAGTAAACTAACTTACTTATTATCATCCATAAATATGTGTGCGGCATAGATAAATTATCTTCTGGTTTCTTACTAGAGCTGTCAAAAATACTGATACTGGAATCAGAGCTGTAACAGAGTATTCAGAACTTTTAATGTAAAGGTAAGTATACATTTTGATTAATAATAAGGTAGTTCAATAATCGAAGAAAGAAGAATGTAATATGAGTTTATAAAAAAGTTTGTCCTTGTTAAGCACCTACAAAATTTAAAGAACTTACAATATAAAAATTTCTTTGTAAGATAAACTACCAACTTTCATCTTAAAGGATAAACACTTAAATGAACATTTCCGAAACATAATCAAGAAAGTTTTTAGTTACCTAAATGAGCTTTCTCGAAACAATGAACTTAGTTTTGGCAGTGCTCCGAGCATAACACTCTTTTTTAGATACCTTCAAGTCCTACAAGTGATAGCCAAATATTTCTTGTATGCCTTTCAGTTGGAAATCTAAAAATCAAACATAAGCATATTTATTTTACCACTATAGTCCAGACTAAAGTGTGTCTATGAATTACAATTTTTTGCGAAATTAATAATGTTGAAAGATCAAAGCAAATAATAGTAATAAAAAAGTAGATAATACATGTGATATTACAGCAAAAATCTTTAAATCTACACCACTGAACTATGCAATACATCATCATCTAACCTTACTTACTTATGAAAAGATACTTTTCAGCACCCACATTTTCCAGTTTTTTGCTCAAAATGCACTCGCGAACCATGTTATTAGCTATACACAAGCCGAAATTTTTCCAAAAAAGTCTAAAGATTAACAAAAACACCCAATATGCAACAATTTACTGGATCGCAACGTCGCAAACTATCGTTGGATAAAATACAATACGTGACGTCCGTGAGGTATAGTATGAATGAAACAAAGTTATTTTAAATTGCGGTGGTGTCACGTTTAACGCTTTTAAAATCCTTGCATTTATTTGCAGGAATAATAATGACGTTTGCCATGTTTATCTTAGTATTTGCAAAGTTGTTATTTACCAAGCGTATGTATGTAAAAACGATAGGTACAAAAATGCCCTGCCTAATGGTGTAAAAATAGGTGCTGCTAAAATATCAAGTCTGCTGAAAGTAGTTAAACTAGATTAATCTACTTTGTACACATTTTTGTACACGTTTTTTGTTTTGTTACAAGTCATTTTATTTAGAAATTTACTATTAAAATGTTTCGGGAAATATTGCAACATCTCGACCCACAATGCGTCGGAGTTGGAAACACTGCACTAGGTACGAAAATGAATTGGTGGGGACGCTTGATGTGTCGCAATATATCTCGAAACTATTCTAATTAATAAAACTTGTTGCTATTAGTGATTTATAGGTAAAAACATTTACAAAATAGCTACGCGCTACGTTTCTTTGCAATGTATGACCGGGTTTTCAATGTAAATAAAGGAGCTTTGTATCCAACACATGACAATCATCATTGTCATTATTGCATGATGTCGTTTTAGACAAGTAAACTATCAAATAACATACTAGTGAGTTATAATCCATAACTCACTAGTGAGTTATGGATTGTAACGTTCATATTTAAAGTAGTATTCTATTTATTGATTACTATCGGGCACGGTGGTGTAGCGGTCTATCGCGCTTATATTCATTTATAGGCAAGTTTATGAGTCTGAGACTGCTGGGTTTCGAATCCCAGACCAGACCATGTGGATTTTTAATTAAATTGCATGGTTCGGTTTAGGATTTGATGTGTGGCGTATTAATAGAAATTCAATTTCTGTTGATATGACATGCAGATTAAAAAAATTCGCCACACATTACCGTCTCGATGATGGTGGGTGAGGTTTTCCGGGTTTTCCTCACCTGTAAGTCAAATGGCACCATCAATCATCTTTAAGTCGCCCCGGAGCGCCACGGCAAATAATAATAATAGCCGTCCCTTTCCCCGGACAAGCTCAGCTTTTGGGGTTAAAATTCACTCGTAAGGGGGTGAATTAGGGAGAGTATTATTATTATTATTATTATTATTACAAGCAGAATTCACATTGATATTGAAACTAAAGGAAAACGCTAACGGTTTATTCGAATTTGAAGTCATTTTAAAATTTGTTGGTTCATTGGAAATTCTGACTGAGACACAAGTAGCTTTGATTTGTTCACAAAACTTATTAATTATTATCTCATAAAAAACGATTTCTTCCACTTGTTTGTTGGATAAAACATTGTATGCCACTCGTGTGTTATGTTTCCTAAGTCACTTGATAATTATAAATATGAATCTTTCTTGCGTGACTAATTTTCAACATAACACACTAGTACCATAAACAACTATTATTTTTAATCCTTAGCAAACACAAATTTCATTAAATATATATAATGTATTTTTAATCCCTAGGAATTTAAAGTTAATTTTAAGTGTCATTTTATTCTCTAAAAGTAGGGACCAGCTGCGCGTTCAGATGATTTCAATTTTTTTAGAATAAGGATAATTTCCTGATCATAGCAGAATTTTATATAAATAAAAATATCCGTCATGTTTTTATTTTCTATCGTTTAGCACAGCACTACATATGTTTCGGATTTTTTTTTCCATCTTCGGGTGCAGTCAAAATTTAAAAAAATAAAAAAAACACATGGGGACGATTACAAAGAGATTAAAATTTTTTTAAAATAACAGAAACCCATCTTTCTGTTTCATCTTGTTGTATTTGAAGATTTCGAATGACGTCATATTTAGACGTCCTTTGCAC